ATAATATACTACATACATAGTTTATTCACATATTTACATATTATATCATGATTTCTGAATGAATAGTAAGATTGATGGCCAAAGTAATGAATCATGAGAATAAAATAGAACTATGTTACTGTTGCAGTATAAATATGTGTCTTAAAACAAAACAAAATGAAAAAAAATTGAAATTTAAAACGTAAATCAAGCTCTAATGCTATGTTCACACTGAACGCCTTTTGAGTTGCAGAAGCAGAGAGTTTACATGCAAAGTATATGGTGGACGGGTCTCTATGGCTCGTGGTGTATCTATGCCATTTGGTGCGGCACACAAGGTAGTGGTAGGTGCGGTTGAACATTTGACATGCATGCAGTGTGTCCAAAGCAGCCAACGATCAAGTTCAAAAGTCTGAACTTGCGCCACGTCAACCAATCAGAGACTCATTTTTCCACGTGACGATTTCCTGAATGTTGCCCACTAACCTGAAACAGATGGACAGGAGCTTTTTAGCTGAAATTGACCGTGTGCAGTTGGTGTTCTGGCAGGAGATATCAGCACCGATGTTGGTCAGCAGCTTGTTAAACTGACCGCAGCGTTAAACTGGGCTCGGGACAAAAAAATAGTTTGTCATCTTGCAACTCCTGAAGTAGTGAAACTCACCAATCAGACCGCCTCTAAATTATCTAGTGAATTAATTATCTGCTTACCCAACGTTCGCTTGCTCTTAATAAATTAAGCAAAGCCATTTTCTTTATTTTATCTTTATTTCATCCGCCATTAAAGACAGACCGGGAAAAAAACAAGATGCTCCTCCCATTCAGATGTGCATCTAGTCTCTGTCCCTGTCTAAACATAGCGCATCCAACTTGAGGCATTGGGCTCATTTTAGATGCTCAAAATGCTTCGGTGTGAACATAGCATGAGTCCTGACATAATAGCTTTCACACTGAAGAAGTTTTCCAAATAACCCATGATCCAGCTCTGTTCTAAAACATTCTAAACTGACTCCTCTCGATGTGGAGGAGTGGCGGCTCTACTCTGAGTCTCTCCCAGAAAACTGAATTTCTCTATCTCTAAGGGAGAATCCAGTTACCCTGAGAAAACGAATTTCCACCACCAGTATCTGCAATTTTGTTCTTTCAGTCACTACCCAAAATTCATGGCCATAGGTGAGGGTAGGAATGTAGATAACCAGTAAACAGATAACTTTGCCTCACAGTTCAGCTCCATCTTCACTACAACAAACTGGCACAGAGTCCATAATACTATAGAAGCAGCACCAATCCATCTATCAATCCCACGCTTCTTTCTTACCTCACTCGTGAACAAAACCACAAGGTACTTGAACTCCTCCACGTGAGGCAGAACCTTAAACCCAACCTGTAGAGAACAATCCACCCTTTTCCAACTGAGGATCATGGACTCAGAACTAGAGGTGCTGCGTCTCATCCCAGCCACGTCATACTTGGCTGGAAACCACTCCAGAGAGAGCTGAAGATCACGGCGTGATGACAACAACAGAACTGTCCATGAAAGTTATGAATAAAATTGGTGACAACGAACAGCCCTGGCAGAGTCCAACTCCCACCCTAAAGGGGTCCAACTTAATGCCAACAATGAGGACTAAACACTCACACCACTTGTATATGGACTGAATAGCCCATGGCAATGGACCCACAATCCCATTCTCACGTAGCACCCCCCACAGTGTATCTCAAGGAACACATTTGAATGCCAAGTCCACAAAACACAT